TTCTCGTTTCCAGTTGAACTCCTGATCCTCAGTCGTCAGGCCCCTTAACAGTAGTCTACTGCTTCTCAGTGTGCAGCTCTACAAAACTCAAAGCACTGCTGCAAGATGCTGAGTTGCTATGAGATGTAAGCAATGTTGCACCAAGCTGTTTTGCAACTGTGTTTTGCTTCTTTACTTTACTGCTAGCAAGACTACAGTTTCTCTTCTGATAATCCTCCCATTTTCTTGCCAGTTTAACATGGTTTTAATCATCCTTGATGCAGTCAGTAACAGACCAGAGATGTGCACCTCCAGTTAGAAGAGGCCCAATGGCATCTTCCAGCTCTGAGAGAAGAGCAGCTACAATAGCAATGTGATTCTGTACACTAGGAGAGGAAAACCACTTTACAAATTCAGGATGCACCTCAGCTTCTTCCTTGGTGATCATTTTAGCAATTGCAGTAGGGTTTGCCTTTATACAGTAGGGGACAAAAGTGTTGCTAGGCCTATATCTAATGAACCAGCTATCAAAATATAGTACCTATAGGTACTATTGAAAAGCCTAGGATCTAGGCTATACAATCTAACACCTAAGAAACCCAAACCACCAAAGAAGGGAGATGTTGATTGCTTGCAAAATGTGGAGAGCCTCTAACAGAGTCCCAGGGCAGCTAAACAACTTACCCAACAATGTATTGATAGATTGATAAGTTACAAAGTTGAGTGTTGAAATGAGGAGAGGAAAGATATAGGCTAGATCATGGCTAGACACTATAGAGGATAAGAGAGACCACTGCTCTTTGCAGGGAAAATTGATAGGAGAAATGCAGAGATGAGAACACAGGAGGTCATAAAGACTGATTGCCAGTTGTGGGTATGATTAGTCATTGATCTAACTTAATTAGTTGAAATTGCAGTGAATACAGGTCACAGTGTTGCAGTAAACACAGTAGATCAAAGTCACAGTAGAATGCAGTAGAACTCAGTAAAACACAGTTAAAATGCAGAATGCAGAAAAATGCAGTTGAGGCCTTACTTTTTAGCTCTGAACTAAGGGGAAGTAAAAACTTGTTATTTGTAAAGAGATCACAAAGCTTAAATACAAAATGTGCACTTCAAGAGAAAGGCAACTTAGACAAAATAAAAGTAGAAGAGTCTATGTGTACAGTAAGCAGTCTGATGGCTATGTATGTCATGACTGAAATGAAAAATACAGGAAAAATGCAATATATCAGTGTAGTAACATGACCTATGTTGAAACACATAGCATACTATAGTAAGCCAAAACACACTAGAACTATGAGACAGAAATGCTAGAGACTGTATGATCCTGTAGTTGTGAATGCAAGAGATGTTCAAGAAAGCAGTGTACAATGCAACTTGGAGGCTGGACTGCCTGTTGCCACATCACAGATCCTTGGTCAATCACCAATAGTGAATCTTCTTGATCACAAGTCACATGTTGTGAGTTGATCTCATGACCTGGTGACCTGTTGGATACTATGACCATTGATGCGACCTTGGGAAACCTAAACCTAACTCTGGGGGGGGGGGGGGGGGGGGGAG